TATTAAATTTAAGATTAATCATGATTAATTCACAGCTACTTTGGGATTAATCAGATTAAAAATATTAATATTTGACAGCCCTAGTTTAAAACAAAGAACTAATTTCATGATTAAACCTCATGAACAAAACATGTCCAGGTAATGTTGTTGTTGTACAGGTGGTGCTTTAAAAAAATCCCTCTTTTTTGTTAGAAAAATAGCCAGATGTATATGTTTTAACTAGTATCTGTCACATTCATTTTRTAATGTGTTAGATGAAGTATAAAATGTAAAATTTACCTTCTTCAATAAGAAATTTAGGAATAAAACTTTTGTAAGTATTGATTTCTGTTGTCTTTCAGAGCCAGGGTTCTAGTAGAAGGAAAACTGGATTAYGGAGAGTATGTGGATAAAAACCAAGTCAGACGTCAGGCCACGACCATTATTGCAGGTCAGAATAAAAACAGCTGTTTTCATCCATTCAGTTTCAAATTAACCGTAAAAAAAATTCAACTGATTCTTCTTTTTTTTTCCTTTAGAATCAATCGTGTTTCTGAGCGACAACAGAGACAAAGAATGAGGGCCTTTCTGTCCGTCCACATGATAACTTCTAGTTCTTTGTACCAAAATAAGACTCGAGAATGATTGATTCCTGAGGAACAAAATAAGATCACGTTTGACTGTAGCTCCCTCTGCTGGTGRAAATGAAGACTGAGGCATCAAGATGTGCAAATAGTATCTTGTTTGGTTCAAAATATTCACTGATGATGATTCTGTGTACAAAGCTGTTAAAACTACAACTCCTGTTTATTCAAAAGTCAAAAATAGTTACAAATATTGAAATTTGTTTCATATTTTGCATCAGACGTTTTCCACAAGTACAAACAGTTTTTTTWAATCAAACGTCGACCTCTGTTTTGAGCAAATCCTATTATTTTAAAATAAGCAAGAGTTGTAAATTAGGTTTCTCTGAACTGTTCAAATGTGTTCAGAGAGGTAGATACATTTATCTTCATATATCTGTATGCTTTTATATAATTTACTCACATTTAAGTTTCCTAGGTTTATGCAGCTAGGTTCCAAATAGTTTTTGGCAAATTAAAATAAACATTAACCTGTCATATTTTGCTCGAGTTTTTGCAGGTGGCGTGCCTCACTATCATGAAACTAYCACAGTTTTGTTTATTAATGACCTTAAACTCACTTTGTGACTGTTTCTGTTTTAAATAAAGGGTTTGACCACAGTAACTGTACTTTTGAATGACATATATGAAGTTGTATGACATTGTTCCCTGTCTGTAAGAATGAGACTAAATAGTTTGTTAGATAAAAAGGTTAAAAGATAAGACAACCGATTCCTGTTTATTTTTGCAGTCAGAGCTATAATGTTTAACAGCTGAGTTTTGAATTTATTCTTAGTCATTCTGTGTTTGACCCTATGCCAGCTGACGTATTCAGCAGATTTCTCCAGATTACAGGTTGTTTAGTTGCAGAAACAAACAGCTGCTAACTGAAACATGAGAACCAAAAAAAGAAGAGCAGTTTGCAAATTTTCAGGAAGCCCCTTCAAAGTCAGTTTCACTGCTRCAGCATTTTGTTTCTCCTTTTTACATTTTTTCTATAGTCAAAGAGAAAGACATGTTTGTTTGTTTCAGTTAAATTCTGTTTTCTGCTCTGTAATACTGTTTAGCAGTTTTATTAAATAATCTCTTCATTTTCTTCCAAGGCTGACTGGTTGCTTTCAGCTCACTGTCATTTTTTTTCTCTATAACYGCTGCTGTAATACAGATATTTTTTTCTCTAAAAATATGATCTCTAATCATAATTTCCCTTTCTTTTTTTAATTGATAAATATTTTTTTCAGTAACTTTTTAAAATCATATTGATGTTTCTCTGGCAACAGTAGGCGGGTTTAAAATCAAGGTATTCTTGGCCTTAAGAGATTGGCTGCCGGGAGTCAAAACGCTCTCTGATTGGCTTGTTTAGCTGTCTGTYAAACGCGAGGAGGGCGGAGTTACACCGCAGAACGGGCTTTAAACACACAGCTTACCTGATTGGTTAAGCGGATTAATGTGGRCAGGGCTTAGATGGTCTGTAACCTGTGGATTCTGTTCATTTACTACTCAAGATGCCAGAAACAGAGTAGGTCAAACCGGAAATGGCTAACATGGCTTAAAGATTAAAAGCATAAAAGGTTTTGATATTTTTACTTTTCAACTCTGGTGTATTTTTTAAATTTTATTTTATGTTTGCAATGTTTTTTCATAAAGAKGGTATTTTTCACCAGAGTAGTTAAAATGATTTTATGGCATTTTAATCAGAAGCTTAACCTTAGGAC